AAGAAAGAATTCATGTATTTAGTGCTCAAGTGGAACTTTCGACAGAGAGATTCAAGGAAGAACAACAAAAAGACAAATTTTGTTCAGAAACTATCAGCACTCTGAATAACCTCAACAACCTATCCAAGAAAAAAAAGAAGAAAGCGGAGAAGTTTCTATTGATCAATGAACTACTTTACCGAAAGGTCTGGAAAATTCATTCGGAAACCAACCTCCTAGTTGTCCCAAAGAGCCTCCGAAAAAACATCTGTGAAATTCATCATGACGCCGTATCAGCCGCACATCAAGGGATTGCAAAGACTTATGAAAGAATAAGAGAAAAATACTACTGGTCCGGTATGTCCATTTATATCGCCAAATATGTCGCCTCATGCATTCTCTGTCAAACCAGAAAAAACTCGCATGAACTAGAGGCTGGTAAATTACAACCTATCACCGCTAGTTACCCTTTTGAAAGAGTAAACATCGACATCCTTGGTCCAATGAATAAATCACATGGGAAATCTTACATTATTGTGGCTATCGACGCATTCACCAAATATATGGAGACCGCAGCAATAGCATCTACTTCTGCGCAGAACACAGCGAAGTTCATTAAAAGAGACATCTTCTGTCGTCATGGAGCACCACATTTTCTCATCTCAGATAATGGTACGAATTTCACAAGTCATCTGCTAAAAGAATTGACGAATAAATATGGCATCAAACATTTGTTCACCACACCGTACCACCCACAAGCAAATGGTCAAGTTGAGCGAGTCAATGCGAAAATCGCAGCCATGTTGTCAATGTACGTTAATAAGTACCACAATGATTGGGACCAATATTTACCGGAGGTAACGTTTGCATACAACATTTCCCCTCATTCAAGCACAAAATTGTCCCCTTTTGAATTGGTTTACGGCCGCAAACCGATAACTCCAGAAGAGAAAGATTTACCAATCGACATCCAAACTTATGATGAACAACAATACCTGGAACACATCAAAACAACTTGGCCCAAATTACGTGAATTCGTGAGTAACAATATGGAGGAAGCACGATCAAAGAATTGTGACGACTACAACGAAAGACACTCCAATAGAGAGTTCAATGTTGGTGACGCAGTGTTGGTGCATTATCCCAACCCATTAACAACAGGCCTAACCAAAAAGCTACTGCACAAATTCCATGGCCCTTTTGTGATCATAGAGAAGAAATCACCTCTCGTCTACGTTGTAAAAGACCCAACATCAAAGAAAGCTCCACAACTCGTCAATATACAAAGAATGAAATTGTTTCATGGTCGACATACATTAGATTCAGACGATACAACCACAGTAACAGATAGTAATGAACTTCCCATTTATTGTGAACCGGTCTGGGAAACCTCAGTCTTTAAAGAACTTGCTACTCAACCAAAAGACACCAGCAATGGGTCTACCGACGAATGGCATGAAACTGTGGATACAATCGAATTTCAACCAGCTCTTAAAAGCTCGCAACCTGGCCCAACTACCAGTACACCCATTCAAAACCGAACATTCACAGTTGAAAAGCCTAAAAAATTAATGTTCGATCATTCCTCGACAGCCACAATTTCTTCAGAGTCATGTTCACCAGATTCTGATCAGTCGCCAAGTAAACTTTGTGAATGTGGTGCACAAATTACACGAGAAGAATCCTCCTCTGACTCTTCGGCGTTCTTAAATCATGAATCAACAAAACCGGACAAACAAGTGAGATTCAAAGACACAGACAGTATCCATTTTTTTGAAGACGCCAGTCAACAGGCAGACAGCGATTATGTACCAGAAAAAACGTACGCAAGGAAATATGAAGTAGAACCGAGGGTAACCAGAGCACAAACTAGAGGAAACGTTGTCACAAAAGGCATATCAGGACTATTGCTGACTCTACTCGTTCTTTCAGTGGAACAAGCCAAAGCAGACTTTGACGTTGTAAATCCACTAATTTGGCAACGGTCTATTCGCCCTGTGGTAGAGGCAGAGGGAGACATTTCAACTACGATTTGGTTCGATAACACTTGTGCTACTTTAGCTCAATCAATAGAGTTACCAGAAAGACAGAAGGAGAAATTTAAAAACTGGTGTGATCATAAGTTCAAAGAATGTGTTATTACGCCAATCCAACGTTACTGTCAAAAAACAAATCTTCAGAAAGAAAAAAGAGAAGTTACAATGGCTGTCCTGTCTGCTGTCGTATTCACAGGAGTGACAGCATATGGGGCAATAAGAAGTCATTTAGATAGAGTTTCCAAGATAGAGAAATCTGTCGCCCATGGAAACCAAGATCTGGAAATGATGAGAGACAAATTGAACCGATCTATTCTTATGATTAACAAGAATATTCAAAGACTGGATCGCTTAGAAAATAACCTCTTAATAAATATCCTGACAACTACAGGAATAGCAAATAGATTGACAGCCACTAAAATCCAACTAACTGACATATTGAAAGAAATTCAGAGTAACCGAGTGAGTCCACAACTATACCAACTAATAAACATCTCCAGCGAAGACGAACGAAAATATCCCAATGAATTAATGTCAACTTATGGATGCTTCTTCAATATTGAAGATAATGCCTTAAGCATTAAGATTCATGGTTTTCGGCGGAATAAACAATATGTTCTTGCTGAAGCTGACCCGTTTTGGATGCGAGTAGGCAAAGAGGATTGCATTTATTATAATGGCCCGAACTTCATCCTCTTTGATTTGCAAAATAAGAAAATGTGTCAAGTAAACAACAAAGCCATTCAGAAGGGACCACTCATAGTTAATAACAATTTCGTTTGTAAAAACCAAACAAAAGATACTGAGGAACTTTGGTCACAAAGAAAATGCAAAATGGAAACAGCAGAATCAGATCTACAGATCAAGTCATCCAGTAACCGTAGACTTATATATTGTCATGGGCACGAAATAAAGATCGGTCTCGAAATATTCCCCTGTCCAAACTGGGTTTTCTCTTTTTCAACAACAATACCTTTGGAAATCGATGGAGAGATTCACGAATACTTCAACATTCATCAACAGTACCAGTATAGTCTTGAAAATGCAGACCTGGACATCATAAATCACTTTCTAACCGCCGGTCAAAGTCATTCAGAACTGTTGGATTTACTTAGGAAGTCTGAGATTGAGAAAGCCTGGATTTCAATCACTGACATGAACCCGTTCATTAGTATACCCCTGCTAATCTGTGTCCTTTTTTGTATGGGGACAATAAGCTTCTTCTCTTATCGCTTCCTAACTTCGAGAGTTGCTGGTCGGAAAAGAGAAAAACGAGCTGGAAAACAAAAACAGAATAAAACGGAAGAAGTTCCCCTGAAGGATATCGAATCAATGGAGAATTCAGACAACCCATCATCAGAAATATCTATCAATCCACAATTACCAACAATAACTTTTAATGTTTGAAATTCGCCTTTACGAATTATTGACAATTATTTAACCAAACTAACCGTTTATCTATTATACAATGTGATTCTATAACCTTCTAACATACAAAAAAAAATACTTATAAAATGCTGAAAACTCTAGTTGTAACCAAACGAATATAATACACCAACCTGCAACAATGACCATCGAATAAACTATGCAATTACTTATAAGACGAAAATCATGAATACAAATCGAAAAGTATACCGAAGTGGCCTCGGGAAAAAGAAATTGTGGCATCATCTGTGTAAATAAGATCATCAGTAATTTCTTACAAATATTTGACGACGGATATTGCGAACAAGATGTTCCTTCGAACAAGGAAATTTAGGGGATCAAGATATCCCACTTGCGTTCATAGTGTACAAATTGGATCAAAATATGATGGCGAGTTCATATTTGAAGTTACGGTGGAAACATAAATTGGTCACGAATCGATAAGACAATACAGATAGTTAACAAACCATTTAATCAAATATATATTGACGGCTCAACAGTGATAAAATTGACAGAAGTTACAAAGAGAGATAAGAAAGGAAACATAAGGAAGGAGAAACATGGTTTGCAGTTAAATCAATAGTCCTCACTCGTTAGATGACTCTTGTTGGTTTTGTTGATGATGAGCATAGAAAGGAGGATCTAGCAAAATTTCCCTAGGGATATACAGCCACGGTGAAGATAAAGCAAGTATGTTGACAACACCTACACAACAATGGTTAAGGATGACAACGTTCTCAATCTGGGAAACGTAACACAAGAGTTCATAAAAATTTCGATTGGGATAAGGAAAGGGACATCCAGTCAGTCTACGATAACTTCTCACCAAAAGACCAATGGGTACCTTTTCAGGTGCCATCTCCCATTCGAGAGCAGCAATTAACTGGACGATAAAACGGTCAACGACTAAAAGAAAATCAAGATAGAAAAAAAGAGAAAAGAAAAGAGAAAGATTAAAATTGACATGGTAAAATGGCTTAACAACTTACCCAAAGATGCTTCACGATTATCCATTTTTTTAAATCAGACAAAAAAAAAAAAAAAAATCAGACGAAGAAAGGATCAATAATTAACAAAGGAATGAATCAACAAAAGCAATGATATTCATTTTTATACCAAATCCTCTCATCCATCAACAGGCTCACTTCCGATCAATCCCATTACACCAAATATGGATTTGAAACGATTGAACCAAAGACTAAACAAAAAAGGGAATAGGAAACTACCTCATTTCCCTCTCAAGTATAGCCAAACTTGAAACGACATTAACGCTGCCCCTGACCTTTCCCTACCAAACCGGAGAAGATACATGTCCAGGGGACTACAAGTCAACAGCTGATCCTATTCTGAAGTGAACGGAGCCAGTCGATTCGGGACGGAGGGGAAATTCATAAAAAATGTAAAATAATTTAGAATTTGAAAAATGAAACAACAGAAGAACCAGCAGATAATAGTTAGAGATACAGCAATTCCAGAGCAGATCGAAATTAAGCAGACTTCATCTTAATTATACACAGGAACAAAAAAGAGGACGGAAATGACAGTTTTGAACGGAGAGCATATAATCAAATTCAATTTTATTTTCAAATAAGAAAGTAATAACAACTTATTTTCTTGGGTTATCTAAATAACTACGCCGGGTAGATGATGCAGGAGTAGATGCAGATACAGAGAGAGATAGCTGGGTCGTGGGTCGCATGTCAACATGATGCTTATCAATCCCAGCCTGAAGGTCCGCAGGAATAGTGTAATCCTTCCTTCCTCCTTCATAATCAGGATCAACGCAAGCAGGCTCACACCAGGGAAACATCTTGGGCAGATACTCTCCTTTTGGGACGAAGCCATTATTTGGGATTTTTTCCTTGATTACCCGGGCCGTACATGGAATGTGCCAAGATTGTTTCCGGGTGTGTTTCCTTCCCAGGAGGTGATCAGTTAGATAACCCATCTTTTTGAATGTGGCGTGACAGTAGAGACACCGCACCCTAACCGGATTATCGACTATGGAAGCCCTAGCCTCTTTTTCAGCCTGAAACAGGGGTTTATACGTAATCAACTCCGCAGTGGAGATCTCGTCCTCGCTGTGAAGATCGTCGGGATCTTCCAACTCATTGTCCTGGACACGAAAGCCACCAAAGTCGACCACGCGATGGAGCTTACCGTTAGAATCATAACCCCACTTAGTTGTCTCGCAAGACCACTCATTACATCTGTCTCGTATTCTTACTCGAGTGAGAGGAGTACGGAGTCGACTGGATGGGCCAGCCACCGTTGAACGTGAACTGACACCGGGTGCTTCGGGCCGTGGTGGTGGATTGGGTGCTGGAAGTGGTCGTGGATTGGGTGCTGGAAGTGGTCGTGGATTGGCTGCTGGAAGTGGTCGTGGATTGGCTGCTGGAAGTGGTCGTGGACCTGCAACAGGAGCGCCTGAAGGAGGCTGGAGAGGAGACGGACCAACCGGAGCATCATTTCCTCCAGCTCCTTCCTCACCTAAGGAGAAGAGAAAAGAGAAGGACATGAATTAAGCTCAATACATGAGGCACAAGAAAATAACTTACTTGCGAAAATATTGAAAAGGCGAAGAGATTGCATTTCAGGAGTTAAGAAGAGAGTTGACTTTAAACTCAGAATAACAAGAATGGAAGGAAAGCAGAACGAGTTTCAACTTAAATACTGGGTAGACAGCAGGAAATTTCTTCAAAATGAGCAGATAAATGAGATGGAAAAACCCAATAAATGAATTCAAGGAAGCAAAAGCAATAAATTTTAAAATTACGTGATTAACAACCGGATGAACCTGAACAAGCACACCTGAAAAGCAATAAATTTAAAGATCAACAAAATATAATTTACAACAAATGACAGCCAATTAATTACATTATGTCCTAAATCCATAGCAAGTAACAGGTTCCCCTTTTTCAAAGTCACACAGAGGACACATCAAATTATTCACCCTTTTGACTGTACACAGTAAACTGATGAATTGGAGGACCAATTCTAAATTAGCGGCGGGGTGATGTAATGAAATATCTGAACAAGAAATGAAACTCATCACTAACGATCAAAGGGCTGCCTAAACTATACCAGTGGAGCTAGGACAAAACCAGACTAGATGGGCATAGAGGAGGGAGGCTTAGTGCTTTGACCGAAAAACCGAAGTGAACGGAGTGGGCTAACCCCGAACGGAGAGAGGTTAAAGTATGAAGACTGGACAAAAATGATTTCTCGCTTGTTCCGAATATGGATAACTAACATCCTTAACCGAGTTTGGAATTATATCCTGAGACAGATTTGGACTGTAACATCCTGAGCTGAATATAGAGTGTTATGGATTCATGAGAACTTGATTCTGTTGCCCTAATAAGGAATTCATCCTCTAGTAAACTAGATGATATAAAACAGCTTTGACATTAAGTTAGTTAGTTAATCATTACCCTTACCTATGATAAGTTACCTTTTATTATTATCACTTTTCTCATTCTACACTCGACTACGCTACCCAAATCCTACACCCCTCATCATGTATGTATTATTGAACTAAATAAAAGTTAACCTTAGTCAGGCAGTTTGCAGTTGTGCACAGTTTATATCGTGTCCGTAACTTTCGTTACAAAACAATGAAAAATCGATTTCCATCTGATCCATTATAATGGATGAAATGCATTTAAAAAACTCACAAAAACCTATACAGTTACTCCATCAAAATCAAAACAAAAATTTTCTTCTTTTTTCTTTTTCTTTTTTCTCTTCTTCCTTTCTCTCTCTCTCTCCTATCTTCATCATCATCCTCTTTCCTCTCTCCTAGTTTGTTCAATGAAATGCCAAAAAAACATTCATCATCTTCATTTGCAAAAAAAGGCTTTTCTTTTTTTTCCAAACTAAATGTTGATGAAATTTATCATGTGACTGATCAAATGAAAATGTTACGCACTTTTTACCCTTTTCAAGTTAACTCTTGATTCTTGATCCCAAATGATTGTTGATACAAAAAAATAGTGAAAATGAGTCAAAGAAGAGTTTCCCTTTTGATGAAAGACCGTTTCTCCAAATGCAATTGGATGATGATGACAAGTGAAACTGGTTCGGCTTCTTTTGCTTCATCAACTTGTCTTCATTTCCATCAGACAAAAACATTCCAAGTTTCCCTTTTCATTTCATTTATCACACAATTTTGTCCATTTTCATCTCAAATAATCCAAATGTGGCAATATTTCCATTGCCATTTCTCAAAGACTATCGACTTTAATAAAATGCAAAACTAATTAATTTAAATTGGGTCAATAAAGTGATTGGTCAAAAGTGTTTTGTTCATCTGTAAATGTTGGCTTGGTTAAAAGCATTGAGATTTGAGTCATTACATTAACATTGAAATTCACAGATTGGATTGTTGAATTAAAATGAAGTGTCAGGTTAATCAGAGTTGACATTAGACTGGCTCATGTTGGCTTTGCATTTGCCTTAACCAAATGATAAATGGTGAAAAATTGATCCAATAAGCAATAATAGATTCGTTTACTTATTCAAGCTCGTTTTTATATAAAAACGCAGGATGCAAACACTTTTTTAATCAAAAAAAGTTGGTAATCATTTATAACCAGCTTTAACCGGTGGGCTAAGAAGGATTTAATAGAGAAGGAAATTGATTGGTTAAGATGATTGGAGTGGCTAAACAACAATTCATTTTCATTTCCAAAAAAAGTAAACTTCTCTCTCTCTTTTAACCCAAAGTATCTCTTGCACCCCTCATGAGTGGCTGACTCCTCTTTACTCATTGGGATTTGAGCTCTTCTTTCATCATTTTGTTCCCTCATTTTCACAGTTGCTCTCCCTTCTTTCCTCCTCCTAATCCTCATCATTCTTCTTTCCCTTCCTCTCTTCAATTCCTCTTATCCTAATCATTTCTGGGTTTACTCAGTCAACTTGAGCACAATCATCCTATCATCATATTAATCAACATTATCACAGAGCATTATTCACATGCCTCTTTTCCGTGTTTGTATATCACTAACTTTAGCTTTGTTTTCATCATTTGTCAATATCATCTTTTTTTGATACGTTCATTCATTCATCCAATCATTTGAATTACTCGGTAAATCATTCGCTTTGCTCTCGCCTTTTTTTTCATCATTTCATTCTCTTGTACCTTTTCTTTTTCTTTTTTTCTTCCTCTTCTTTTCCCTGTTCTCCATGAATACTTTCTAATTCGAGTCAAATTTTTTTACTCAACACTCGACATTTATCTTCATCTTCTTGACTTTCTCCCCTTTTCATTTTCTATACGGCATTTTTTACTATTCTCGTGTTGTTGCCTTTTCTTGTAAAACTTTTACCCAATCCATCTTGTAACTCATTCTTCATGACACCTGAATCACCAGATTTCATCCTATAACTCTTTTTGTTTTGCGCTTCTTTACTTTTTCTTGGTGTTGTTTGGTCAATGAACATCAAGTTATCAAGATAAAAGAATCAAGGCGAAAATAATGTCATTAATTAAATTGTTTAACTTTAATTGTAATCGAATGAAAAATGTAAATATAAGTTTATTCTTGTTGGTGTTCCACTCCTTTTTTTAGAAGAATGTTATTCCATGATCAGATGCAGTATCATTTTCATGATGATAATGATAATCATGTGAGGAATGGGAAGGATGAGAAGAATGGCGAAGAGGAAAAAGACTGGTTCAACTCATGAATGAACATGTAATTTATCATAAACATGGGATCCAATGAGATGAAAGACACAGAAAGAAACATTGATAACTCATGAAATGGGGAACAAGTGAGCACGGAAAATAAGGTGTTTGAGGTATTTTAACATTGTTAATCAATATGCTCACTCATTCACTCTCATCTTCTTCTTCATCTTCTTCTTTTCTTCATCATTTTTCTTCCCTTCCCTTTCCCTTCTTATCCATTCGCCTCCCTCTTTCCTGTAACTGTAACTTTCATGATTTATGAAAAGATTTGCCTTTGAAACATAAATTTGAATCTCATGGTGAGTTATGTTTGTATTATGCTTTATCGATCAATATTTAGGTTGAAGGATAAGAAGAGAAGAGAAAAGAGTAAAGAAGAGGGAAGAAGAAGAGAAGAAGAGAAGAGAAAGAATTATGATGGAAATGATGAATATGCAGAAGTGAATTTTGTTGAGAATAATTTTAATGAAATGTTTGTTCTTTTTCTCAATTCTTGTTGTTCTTGTTCTTCATGTTACTCATCATTAATAACAACCTATATTTTTAGGTATAAAATGAAACATGAATTATAAGAATAGTTCATTTATTGAAGATTAATAGATGTTTTTGTTGTCATTTCATTTGTTGTTGGAATAAAAAATGAATCGATAACACATGAAGATGACACATGAAGAAGAAGGAGAAGAAGAGGTTTACCTTTGCTTTTGATGGTGAAAATGAAACAACATGAAACGATAAGAATCGGTGAGTTGATTGAAGGTGGGCCAAAAAAGAAACTCCTAAAGAAAAATATTGTTCGCTTTATGGGTGGAACTCTTTTCATGTATCATGTCAACAATCAATCTTGATCTTTTAGTTCCAAGTTTTTCCTTCTTTTCTCTTCTTTTTTCGTTTTTCGTTTTCCTTTTTTCTTTCTCATCCTTCTTCTTCTTCTTCTTCTTCTACTTCTTGTTCACCCTATCATCATGATCATTCCGTTCTTCCTGTTATCTTGTTATTCCTTTGGATTCTAATTTATAAGTTGATAGGAAGAAAGAGTTACAATGAAAAAAGGTTTTCTTTCTTTTCGTGGGTAAAATCGATTTACTTTTAGTCCATCATTTGCCTTAAGCTTTCTTTTGCTTCTTTACTTTTCATCTTCATTTTCCATTATATGTCTTCATGATCAGATCATCATCATCATCATCATGTTGAAGAGAAAAATTTCGAGCACAAATCAACAGAGACTTAAAATTCGATATTTCATTTCTGTTGTTGGAAAAATAAATGAAACTTTATTTTCTCAACTTTTCTCTCCATTTCATTTTCAAATCACAAATTTAAACTAAAATTGTCATTCAATTGAAGTACAATAATGAATAAAGTTATCATTATTATTGTTATTGGATTCATCACAAAATTACTGTTACTCTATTCATTTTATTCATGAAATATTATTGAACATTCAATGAATAAGAAAATTTGATATAAGAATTTCTGTCTTTTCTTATGCTGAAACATCTAAAAAAAGAAATATTGGAACTTGTCATTTCATGATTGACAGAATTTTTAATTTGCTATTTAAATATTGAGGAATGCGGAATAAAGTTGATTGAGTAAAGAGAAACAATTGAATGATGAAAAGATAAAGATGAGGATTTAAGGTTAATTCACTGGTTAATGATCGCAGTAATAAAAGTGAATAAACTCGTTTAGTTTATCACATAAATTGATAATAAAAATAAAATAAAAATAAAATGATAATAACAATAATATAATAATAGGAATAACATTGTGAATGTAAGTTAAATGTCAATTTGATTGTTGTTACCAGTTATAGCAATAGTAATACAATAAGTTGTTATTGATAACAAAATTAGGTTTGGTTTACATGGAAATTGATTTGAGTTTTGATTAACAAATGCAAATATTAATAAAAATGAGGTTAAACAATGAAATTAAAAGGTGATAACAATAATGATAATGTGAATGATAATGACGATCATCATGATTATGATGATAATGATGATAAGGCTCATTAGTTTATTGTTGATACAATAAAAACTAATTGCCTTTGACTTGTAAGTGCCATTGAGAAGTGGACAGAGAAGATGAAGAATCTTCTCTGAATGAAGGAAGAGGAAGAAAATCTGCTTCTAATGAATGACCTTAAATGACCATCGTTAAAAGGGTGTCTTAAAGTTGTCTTTAAAGTGACCGTTTTTAAGGTATTTTGGGTCAAATCACTTTAACAACCAGATTATGCGCATCATTATCATCAAGATGATCAAAAAGAGAAGATGAAGAAGAAGATGAAGATGAAACAACAACAAAAACCTGAGTAAATTGAAGATAAATTATAATCTTTTATTTCAAAGTCAATGTCAATGTTATCGGTGTTGAGTTGCAATAAGATACATTAGCACGTCTTTCAAGTCTTTTTGAAAATATTTATTATCCATTTGGTCATTTGTTTTATTTCAACCTCAAATTCAATTCAATTTTTCTTCTTCTCTTTTCTCTTCTTTTCTCTTCTTCTTTCTCTTTATCTTTCTTCGTCTTCTTTAAAAGTTTCAAGTTGATTGATCAATTTCATTGGTTCAACTAGATTAATCATTTTATAGGTTCAAAGGCAAACAAATTAATAAATTGTGTTTCTTTTAATGCATTAATTTACTGTCTTTTGAAACTATTTGACACTGATTAAGGTTCATTTGGAATTGAATCATTGGAAGGAAAACAGAAAAAACTTTTTCTCTGCTCTTCAACTTCTTCTACTTCTTCTTCTCCTTCTCCATGTTCATCTTATTTCTTGAATCATGATTAATCTTACTTAATTTTTCATCTTCTAATTTCATGGTTAACACTCTTAAAAAAGAAATATTAGTTTGTCATTC